GTTCTTTTTTAAAGACGTTAGGGTATTTTCTTCTAGCTCCAGTCTAAAGCTGTTTTCGTATGTCAAAAACACCACATCGTGTTCTGCCCTCAGCCGGCTTACTCAGAGCCAAAGGAACCACACCTTATTTACCGTGATTTTACTGGGAAAAGAATCAGATCTGCTGGACAGTTCAAGGAAGCAAGTGAGGGAAAATACTGTAAATTGTATTAATCAAGACCATTCAAGTGACCGATCGAGAATTACAAAAACAGCCCATGAAGATGAAATATTATCTTTGGCCAACAAACACAGAATAAAAGCAAGCAATCGGGAAGGCAAAACTGGTAGCAATTTTCAACGTTTGAAAGACAAATGACGTCGGGGAGAAGACTGGGTTAACAAGGGAGCACTTGAGGAAAGCCTAATCTCCGCTGGCATGCTGGCTGGGAAGGTCAGCCCAGTGCACGCGTTCCCAGCTGGAGTCGGGCTCCCTCTGCCCGGTCAATTGTCCTCTGCACTTCAGATACCAAACCAAATGGAAGGTGCCTTCACCCTGCCAGCTCCTTGTATTCTTCCAGCTCAAAGACAGCTCCCTTTCCCCTGGCAATTTATGCAGCGTTTCCACACAGCAAATGTTACCCAGGAGAGAGGTAGCACGAGTCCTTTTTCCCCCTCCTGAGCAGCACAAGGCTCTTTAGAAGGCAGCGTAAAGTTATTTTTGGCACTCTAGTCTCAAGTGGGAAGAGTGACATTCTCTTCTAAAAGGCAATTTGAATCCAATTTTTTCACAAATAAACTAACTTTGAGTTGATGTATTATGTTTTGAAATTTAAAGCAAACCCCTTGAAAGCTGGTGAACATGAACTTTCAATAGTCTGTTACTTCTTTAGTTTTTATGCACCTCTAACTTATCTATGTGTACCATTTACCTCTATATACCTATTATTGCCATGAGCAGAGAGGAAATATCCCGTGGTCTTCTCAAAGAGGGGATGTAACACTGATTTCTAAACCCAGAATCTGGATTCATCTTCATCCACAACTGGGATGAGACTCAGGTTATTAACTGAAATCACATGGCAAACATTTAATTTATTTCAACTTGAAATGAAAAAAAAAAAAAGGTTTATAAGGTTTGTAGCTATGTAAAGAAGTGCTTTTTAAGAAAAGGCAAACATTTTACTAGCTACCTAACACCTAAACATTGTCAAGGGATCTGGAAGTTGTAAAAGACTTCGTAAAGCTTCCTTCTGCATAAGAAGATGCCTCACTAAAAGATCTCTTCAAGACACTGCAGTCATTCTCACAGTACTTTAGATGAAGAGGCAGACAAAACTTGAGCCTGCACTGTGAAATGAGAATGACTAAAATAGTGCAGATTTACCCCCAAAGAGTTAGTCTTCAAGTTTTGGGGTATTTCTGGCACAGAAACAACTAACATCTCATTTTGGAAGTGCAGATAATTTAAGGGAACGTGCTTTTTAACCTTCAAGAACTAAGTATTATTTTTACCAAAAGCCTTTGTCATTTTTTCTGCTAAGTGCTCCTAAACACTTTCAGACACCCTCAAGCATTTACAGGAACAATTATTATAAAAAAAAAAAAAGTATTATGGAAATGAATGAAGCAGAAGACCAACATTTATTTGAGGACTATGTTATAAAACTTTTAATATGTAGGGATTTCCTCTTCATAGACTTCACTGTAATACTATCAGTTACCATAGCTTTGAAAAGGATGTTTTTAACAAGCCATTCCTATGAAGAATTACAAATCATATGAATCATATTTTTCAAAATGTTACTACGCCTATTTACAATGTACTCAAACCTTTTAAAATGTAACTAACACTTATCCCAGAATAGTTCATTAAGTAAACCATAATGGAAAAGGCAACGTACCGTAGCAATAATTATACACGTATGCACACATATCTATGTCAATCCAAGATGGTAACATTATGAATATATTCCTCTTAAGGGTTTCATGTTAGTCTCCTCATTTAAAAGTTTTGATCACAAAGAACATTGCATCTGAGCTGTTAGATGGCACTGGCATTTGTGATACATTTTCATTTCTGTGCTATCCAGGCACATAACGAAGATCCTCACAATCTTTAAGAGCTATCATCTGTATTGTCACCACATGACATACGAAAAGATTTTTTTATGCTTGTCATACTAGATATTCTTAAGCAGGACTTGGCAGATTTTACACTATTTTTAATGAGCATATATTTAGAAGAAGTAGGTTGAGCCTGTGGTGAAAGAATGGAGCTGAGATAAGGCATTCTGGCTTTAATTACTGGCTTTGCCATAAACATTACCCATAACTTTGAGCAAGCCCTTCTCTGCCTCAGTTTTCCACATGACAATAACTGGTAACAATACTTCACTATCTCACAGGCTTAGTTTGAGAATTAATGAGGATCCCATGTACCAAAGACTTGTAGATCCTGCCTTCTTCCTTTCACTGTGTACTGAGAGGAAAGTGACAAGTTCTTAATTTGAAACAGAGACTCGGTGCTGCCCTTCAACAGCACACGGAATTCACATTAATGCCACCAGGAATTACATTACATACACTGAGTACACTATTTAGCCTAAAAGTAAATGAAGAAGAAACAGAAAGAAACTGCTGGATTCTCCTTGTCTGTTTTTAAAAACTCTAACAGTTCATGGCAGTATATTCCTAATCATTAAAAAAAAAAAAAAAAAAAAAAAAAGTTTTTTGATGGGGGAGCAAGAATTGCATCTTTAAATGACAGTGCAGAACCATGTAACAGGTCCAGCTGTAGACTGCATTTAGCTCTGCTGCAAGGGCACCTTCATATGAAACACATGGAATATAGCCACTATGATATATCCTGATCTGTGCACATTTGTCCCAACATCAAACAAACTTTAATAGTCTCGGCATTTCAAAATTTCACACAATTTCCAGTGGACACCAAGTTATCATTTATCTTTTTGTTTTCTATGCAGGTGCCTCAGATAAGATAAGAATGACAGAAATTCAGAAAAAGGGGAAAAAAAAAAAAGCTATATTTAAAAACAAACTAAACACAACGTAATACCACAGACAGTTTTTGGCCAGATGTATATACTGTACAAGAAGAGAATCTACTAGAGAAGATGTTCTTTGCTGGAAAGCGAGTCCACGTGTTTAAAACGGTTTTCATCTCCCACTTTGTTCTAAAACAGAACTAGTCACAGCGCAAAAAGACATTTCTGTTTTGCTGGGAAAAGAAAACAAACTCAAAGCCAGAAAAAAAAAAAAAAAAAAAAAAGAGTTGGTTGGCCACTACCAACCTCAAGGAGGGAAACATCTCTATAACAAGCAGGCATGTTCTAAGATTTGCCATTGCTTAGCCATCTACAGAAAATGAGACTTGACAGCTCTTTACGGAAGGCGGGCAAGAGCTACAGCTCTGCATAATTAGGCAATAATTAATCAATCCAAGAATAACAGCCTGGTAAATTTGGATGCACCAGTCTTTAACCCACTTGACTACTACACTGCATATATGCAGTCTTGGTCATTTAGAAGTCTGCCTGTCCTGCCGTGGAGTTTTTACACTTCAGGGTGCTTGTTATGGAACAGCACAGAATTCTTGACTGGAGTAAGTCATTCCCCTGCTGAAGGACAAGAGGATTTAAAAATAAAAGCGTGGACCAGATTGGAGTCCTGCTTAGAAGCAGGTTGCTGGAGGAATATAGCTTTTGAACAGCAGAAGTCCACACCAGTGGTATTTTGACTTCATTGTGCATATTTATGTTCTCTTTTTCTTCATAAAACAGTCAAGCAGTAGACCCTCAAAAGTTTTTCCAGTTTTAGCATTCCTCCAAGCAATAATGAAATGTGGGCATCTCCTTGACACGGGATGTGTACAGGTTAAGTATGCCTTTATATGTTCAGTACCTATCTGTCTGGTTACAACTTTCCAAAGCACCGGGAAGTGTTGTGTCTTGTGCGTACCCCAAATCCTCACCTGATACGTTAGAAATCAGTGGTGAATTCTGTACGTATCTTAAAGCCTGTATTTTTATTGTGTGTAGCCAAAGCTCTGCTCTTCTATAAGTGGTCTTTAAATTACATGGAGTTTAAACATTATTAATAGCTTTGACTTTGAAACGCTCAGCAAAAACTAAGCTAAAATTGGTTTTATTAAGATAAATTTCAAAATGGTATTTATGTGTACAATATTTAGCAAAGCCTTTCAGCTGCACGTCCTCCCTCTAAACCACCGCTATTTCCTCTGAGCTAAGCTCTCCCCTAACGTATGCTTACTACTTATGTTTTATTGGCGGTGTTTTATTTCTACCTTGCCGACGCTGTCACGTTTGCCCTTCTCCTAGGAAGGCCATTTCTCGTTTACTTCCATCTGCCCCTCTGATGCCCCGTGGTTTACGTCCCCTGAAGAACCAGCAGCGGTAACGGAGGCGTGAGTGGGAATTATCCCCCACACGGTCCTGTGCAGCCATCCCGACAGTAACCATAGGAGCGAGGATGTCAACAGCAAGCCAAACCCGACGGACAGATGGACGGATGGACAGATGGACGGATGGACAGACGGATGGATGGACAGACGGATGGATGGACACCTCCCGACCCGCAGCGTGCTGGACGGGGAGGAGAAGCCTTCCAGCAGCGAACCGCGGGACACGCACGGAGACCACCGCAATACTTGGCACCCGCACTTCCAGCACACACAGCCGAGAGAGCCCGAGGGCTGACCCTTCCCAAAACGAAGGCTATGTGTGTATATATCGGTGTTAATCGAGCTGCCGGGCGGGCTGGTGGCGATGCCCTCACGGCGGGCGCTCGGCGGCTGAGCCCGGGCTGCGGCTCCGGCTGGGGCTCGGGCTGCGGCTCCGGGTTATGGAGCCCGGCCACCTGCCCGAGGGCAGACGCGTTAACGAGGACACCGGCAGCAGCCCGGGGAAGCCAAGGTGCAGACAACGTCCCCGCGGACCTGATCGCCCCCCAGTCCCCGTGCCGGTCCCGCCGCCACTTACAGGTAGGAGGTGAAGGCGCTGAGGTCCGCGGGCACGGCCGTGAGCCCCATGTCGGAGCAGTCTGCCCGCAGCAGCATGCCCTCCTGCTCGCAGCGGCACGGCGCCGGGCAGCCCCGCGGCCGCTGCCCGCTGCCCCTCGCCCCCCGCTGCGGGCACGAGGCGAGGAAGAGGAGGAGGAGGGCGAGGAGGAGGAAGATGGCGCTGGACGCCGCCATGGGGAGCGCCGGCAGCCGCGGGGCGCTCGGCTCGGGGGAGCTGCTGCGGCCGCCGCCGCCGCGCCGCTGTCTGTGGTAGCATCGCGGCTCACGCGCTGCTTTAAAGCCCTGCAGCCGGCACCGCGCTCCCGCTGACGCCGCCCCAGCCTTGCCCGCCGAGCAGCCACGGGCCCTGCCCGCCGAGCCGTGCGAGCGGGGGCGGCCGCGGGCCCGGCGGGCGGGCGGGGAGGCGGGAGGCGGGGGGGGACCCCCCCGCCTCCCGCCTCCCCGCCCGCCCGCCGGGCCCGCGGCCGCTGCCGCCGCCGCCGAGCCTCAGGGCTCGCCTCAGGGCGGTCGACGTTTCTGGAAGGCGGCGGGAATGGCGGCTGGCCCCCGCCCGCCGCGGTGTGGCACCTCGCTGGATGCCCCCCACACGCTGCCCCGGCCGCTCGTTGCACCCCCTCCCCGGTTAAAATGTTGGGGATGGGGCTGAGGTGGCTCCGGTGCTCGCTTGGGGTGGAAGGGAGGTGGAGTCCCACCCGTTCCACCAGCTTCTCACAAGACAACTTGGTCATCCATGAGCTGTGGAGAGGTTGGGATCCACCAGATTCCCACTCCCGCTCACTTAAATCGCAGGCTTGCAAACATTTCTCAAAGATCTGCTGCCAGTCCTTTTCCCAAACAGATCTCGTGCCAAGGGAAGCTACCTTGTGAGGCTCCTACCAAAAGCTCCTTGGGCTGTCCTGCACCCAACTTCTTGCCAGACCTTCACGATCTCCTCTATAACTTCACCACCTCCTCTGTGCAGAAAGAGGCCTTCCATAACCTCTTCTATAACCTGGAGATACCAAAGCCACTGGTGACCACCAAATTTTAAACCTTTTTCTTCCTCCACATCACTTTTTAAAAACATTTTTCTCTCCAAATTGGGCCACAAGCTCCAGTTTTGACACTAGCTACCAGATTAATAACCAAGTGCCAGCCCAATCCTTGCTTGAACCGCTGACTAAGAGGTTGATCAGGCTACTTGGTATGCACTGGAGAGCGTTAGTTGAAGGTTTTCAGCTATACTGTCTCTGAATTTACAATTAAGTCTGAAATGAGAGCTTAATGACCAGGACAGCAAAATACACATTTTTATGTACTATCCAGTTTATAATCACTCTTCCCACCACTGGACCATCATTTGGTGTAATCTGAGCAGCAGAAGGACCTTGCACTGGAGCTCAAGTGCTTTAGTTAAGTTAATAAAGAAGGAATCTGCAGTCTTGCTAGTTAGGCCACAATGTTTTGTAGATTTAGGCCTATGGGGCTGCTGGGAAGCTTTTCCCCAAGCATCACCGTATCCTAAACTAATAAGAACAGCGGTTGAAAGCACAGATTTACAGGAAGAAATGGCCAAGGAGAAAAGTTCTGCAGGAATCAATTTTCATTATGTATTAAGATCTCTGTCCAGGAGACCCATTCCCCCCAGTTCTCAGACTTCCTTATCCCTGTCTAATATCACTGCAAAGCAGCAATAGTTTTGTTTCTGAATCACATGGTCTTTAAGAGATTTCATGCTGTGCAGAATAGATACATGCTAATGGCTTGATACATTGTGAATATTTTACTTTCCTCTGGTGTGAAACAGCTCTTTCAGGCATCTGTACTGCATGACATTAGAGTCATTAACGTGCTCTGCCAAAAGACATCTGAATTGTTTTAGTTAACAAATAAGCAAATCTTTTTCATAACTGTAGGGAAATAGTATATATATAACCTGAGGCTATTACATGAATATTTTGCTCTAGAAAGCAAAGAGTATGCTGCTTGTTCATTTTCCGTAGAGGATTTAATCACCTTGCACAAGACAGCTGAAGATGGACAGGTGGATTAATTAACAGTGGGGTTTAACTGTAAATATCTTCCTTTGAGTAGTTATTTTTTCATGCATACATTTGTCTTGCTAGTGACTTTCTTTGAAATATTAAATGTGCTACTATTTATTTATTTATTTATTTTAAAAGAAGCATCATGAAGATTAACAGAAGGATGTGATACGAATAGCTATGGATAGTTCTTACCTCCATACATTTAAATCAGGCTTTACAGTTTTTTTCTTTTCATGTTTCTTGTAGGTCTCTGGTTCTCCTTAAAGAGAAAAGGAGAATCATTGACCAGTTTGGTAATGTTTTAGGGAATTGCTGTTACTGTTCCAAAACACCTTTGGGACCATTGGATTTCCTGCAGGTTCTGACACTCAGAATAATGTCCTGGTCACTTGGAGTGACATCTGTAGTGCAGCCATCAGTCTTTGGCTTTTACCAAGGTAGTAAAAAAAACCCCAAGGGGTTTCAGCAAAGCGCTGTCTTGAGTCTCTTCCTATCTTCCTTTCACTAAAGAGACTGCCCTCTGATTGTGGTAATGTGATGACCCTCCAGCTTCAGGTTTATTGATGCAAAATATGTTTCTGGAGTGCCATGTACTCATAAACAAAACAGTGTGTTATGGATTGTTAGCATAACAAAGAGCATACAGATTCATAGGTCAAGAATACACAGTAGATATATATTTAACATGTATCTTTTGGGCAGCATGACAGGCTTTAGATTTTATGTGAAAGCTGGCTTTAAAATACAGGACTGTAAAAAGAAACTTTCACTCCCATTTCTGTTTTGTAAGCTTAGACTGGATGAACAGATTAAAAAAAAAAAAAAAGTGTGGCTAAAGCATTTAAAAACGGAAATTTATGCTTAATCCCGAAATCATTGGATGTCCCAGCCAAAATGGAGCTTAAAGCAGAAGTGTTAAGAGATTCTGCACTAACAAAGATAGCATCTAGTGCTTTAATATTAAGACAAGTCCAACAGAATGCTAAAAAAATACAGCAGGGAAGGACAAGGTAGTTTACAGCTGAATATATCATGTTTCTCCCTTTCCTGTCTATGGATGATGAGTAAGTACCTAGAAGGCATTGCAGCCATGTGGTTAGGCTGTGGAAAAAATAAAGCTATTGTGCAGGGTGGAATTTCTTCTTCTGCCCATTGGGGGAACAAATTCTTCATTGGACGTGTTGGAAGTCCTTACACTGAAGGGGTTCATTAGGCAAATGTGAAGCTCCATTAGCCCTTAGGCTGTGCTATTGGAGAGCGGTGCTGCTCTGCCCAGTGATCTCTGCAGAAAGATCCTTTTCCTTTTGCAGGGACACCTGACTTGTCCTTTTATTCTGCCCAGCCCTGAAGAATTATGTATGCCTTTTAACATCTATCACTATGAAGGGTTTTTATTTGTACGGCAGAAGGCTTTGCACTGCATCCAATTTCCTATTTACCTGTCAGCATACATTCGCATTTGCATCATGTACTTAGCTTGTTTCAGTGAGGATCTTAAGCTAACACATGTATTTACATCACTTTATTAAGCCATACAGTGTTCTTCAGACCAAGGCAGACAGCACCATTCATTTCTGTTTTACATTGTAACAAATGATGGTACCTGAAATGGACAATGGTTAGGACAGAGTCACTCCTAGAACCATAAAGAAATATTGAAGTTTAAGTACCATGGAACAATTTACCACATGGCCAGAACCTGTCAATTGCGATGGTGTTGTGCAATATGTGTCATTAACTAGTTTTTGTTCAGGTTTTCATGCTATTTTGGGCATACTCTGTTATTGATCTTGAGAAATCATCTTTTTTTGTTGATTCTTTTGCTTGGCACACTGCCACCTAGCTGCACTCTTTCCTTAACAGTTCTGTAGTTACACTAGAAGCAAGACCAAGCGTTTGACAGGTGAGGTTTACTTGGATTCACCTGAAATATTCTTTAGTAATGAAATTGCTGATGGGAAGAAGTGACAAAACTAGAACAATATTGCTATTGTTACAATTAATACAGTGAAAGTTGACTCAGTGTAATTTTGAAGCAAATTGTGATGTGCTGATGTTAACATTATTTTTGCTCTGAAAGATTTTGATAATAAAGAATGCAACTTATCCAGGCTTATCCAGGCACATTGCAATAGGTAGGCATTTGGGAAAAGAAATAAGGCAAAAATGTAAATAGAGAGGATGCAAATTTACTGAAATTTTGTTTGGAGGGAATGAAAGCTGACCGTTACAGTAATTCTCTGTATAGGAAATAAAATCCATGTGTTAGAGCGAAGATGTGGAAATAAGCTATATAAAGAAAACCTATTACTGTGAGTTGAGGTGGATGTGACATCATTTAGGGAATTACAGCCAGTCTGCAAAAGCACTAAGTGGATATTTCACCAATATAGGAACTATGTGCTTTAAATAATACTTGAAATGATGCTCTTTAACTAATGTTAACTGCTTGGTTACCTTATCTTTATGTCTGTATCTCACATAAAGCCAAAAGAAGAAAGAGGAGAACATGTAAGCTGTGTGCAAAGGTCCATGAAGAATTGTGAGGCAGTAGAGGAGCTGTAATACCTTTTATTTGTACAATTAAGATATGAAAACAGACAGCATCTCTCTTTTTGTCTTATCAGTCTTTTTTTTCTCCAAACTGTATCTAACTGTTGATACAATCTTCTCTTTCTCTAGCCCTAGAGAGTCATGCACAGCTATGATATAGTTTCTTAAGAACCATGAGGCACAGCAGTATGGCAGCAAGGCAGGTCTAATTGCCTTTATCCTTCTTCTAGCCAGGTATTTATATGATGTTCTTAACTGTGCTTTCTGATAGTAAGTCATTGCAGCAGGTCTCTGAATGAGATGATCTGTCATGTTTTTACATGTGTTTGTCAGTTTTAACATGCACAGAAAAAGTAATAGGTTTGAACCCAAATGGCAAGTGGGCTCAAATCTTGCTCTGAAAAAAAAATGAAAAAAGCTTTTGACTTTTGGAAGGATGTGTTGTGGTGGATGAATCACTTTTTTTCCCGAATTGCACGATTTCTGGACTGTACTCTCTCATCCTGCTCAAGTAATCAATAGCCAGTTGTTCAGTGTAAGAGCAGGTGTCAGAGCCAAACGTTAAAATAATTTGCATTATAGCACAGTAGTGAGTCCAGAAAGTGCTGCATTCTGTGGTGCTTGGCAGTGGGACTTTGAGGAAGCTCCACAAAATATCGCTCACTTAATGCAACAAAAGTTCAGCATTTCCATGGAAAGTCAATACCTCCACATCTGCGAGGAAGTTAACTTCAGTTCATAAAGGGTTGCACTGTTTTTTTCCTTAACACTTTTAAAACATAAAACCTTTGAATATGTGAGTGTGTGGAGATGTATGATGTATTTCTGTGTCCTGTACGTGCTGTGGTGATCTGCATTCTTTTCTGGGTAAAAGACAAGACTTGATACATACCATGTGCATACACAGAGTCATTTCTTAATTTAGCAGCTCATATAGAAATTCTGTCCAACTCTTTTCATCCTTCCTTCTCTCGCTGTGTCTGTGTGGCAAACACCCTCGGGTTCCTGTGGTTTTTGAAGTGTATTTGCATGATACGGTATAATGAGCGATTATATTGTTTTGTAGTTGTTTGAAGGAGGTCACAATAATGGATTTTATTCTTCTTTTCCTTTCTTTTTTTTTTTTTTTTTTCTTTGTGGTATTTTTAATAGTTTTAGACATTTTGGGATCAGCTGCCATACAAAAGGAAGAGATGTATCTAAGAAACACCTAATTGTGACAAATTATTGGGAGACTTTAGATGTGGTCTAATACCTTGTTTTCCTGTAAATCCCACTCTAGAAGAAGGAGTTCTGAATTTTTATTTTTGTCTCTGTGTATTTGGCTTCTGAGCACAGAAAAAGCAGATTTCTTTGCAGAGAGGGAGATCAAGAATTTTTTTGGTGGTGTGTCAGACCAAAATATTTCATATGTGTCTTATCAATGTGATAACAGTGCTTTTCCTATTCTTGACCTGCTTTTTGGAACAATCAGACAGGAAATACCCTGTAGGACTTGATTTTTTAAGAAATTTTTGAAAACTGTTTGCAAATTGTCCAGTGAAAAAGTAAACAACAAAGCTTTTTAGTACATAGTTAATCAGAGCAGAATGTTGAAGTATCCATATCTCTGTGGCTCACATGCTTCATCCTCACTTTGATAAGTTTATCATCATTATGACAAACCCACAGGATGCGTTACTCACCTCTTGACTCTTCCAAGCTGATGAGTCCCATCCGCAGTAATGCAAAATGACACAAGGGAGGGAAGGAGTAAAATGCAGGCCCAATACCCTAACACAGGCATGAAACCTCCACTAGAGCCTGCCATTGTTGAAGGGACTGAGGAGTGTTTACATGGACGTGCAAGAAGTGCAATTTCTTCTGCTTGGCTGGCAGTCATGCAGTGCCCCTGCTGTAGGTGGAGGAAGGAGACTGGCCCAGAAATGGGATGGTGCAGCCAGCAGGAAAGAAAAATGGGACTGTGTGCCTGCAGCTGCTGAGGAATTGAAGACAGAAGGAGCCTTATGTTGGAAGAGCCCTTGTGTTTGAAAGAAGAGCACTGGGATGTTCAGCAGTAATAGGAAGTTTGAAGCAGGGGCATCACAGGGAGGTCTTTACAGAGAGAAGGAGAGAAGGTGGCCCACAAAGAACTTGCAAGGGAAAGAGGCAAGAAGTCTTGGAAGCTGCACTAAACTCCACCAGTTGAAGCTATGAAGTACACAACTGTAAAGCTTCTCTGCCCTTTCACCCACAAACAGTGCCCCTGATAGTGTTAATAATCTTTTAATTGCTATGTATTTGCATTAAGTGTGGAAAAAAAAGAACATTTGAAAGATGGAGATATGTTTCTGGACTGAATATTGGAATCAGGGCTTTATATAACATTAACATGTTTGTAACATGCATTGGGTTGCTCTTCTTCTGTTCCTTGGCAAAGCTGGCTAGCTGACTTTAGGGTAGGCACAGCTATTTTGGGCTGTGCTTCCCTTTGAGGCAATCGACTTACTTGAAAGAGTTTTCTATTTATAAAACCTGCCTTAATGGAGTGTCAGCATAGACCTGCAATATGTAAAGTCTTTAGAAAAGCGGGGAACGGGATGTTATACCATTGAGATTCCTCCATCATTGATGAAGCCAAAGGGGTTCCTGAGAGGCACTTGCTGGCCCCAGCTCCAAGCTGAGAGAAATCTGTTGACATCCATTGATCACACAGGGAAAATTGGAGGCTCTTACACGGCTAACAAAGATCCCCTTACTCAGAGTGCTGTCATTAGCACTGAAATGCCTGAACACATGGTTGCTGCAGCACTTTCATTTAAAAGCATCTGAAAGAAGTTCAAATTTATAGTCTATAGACCTGGTTCAGATCACAGTTAAACCCTTGGAAATCCAGAGTAAAGTTCATTTCGCTGTAGTAGCTGAAAGGGCAAGATTGTCAGCAATACAAGCATTAGTATGGTTTCAAGGAAGCCAGTGTGTTTATTTCTGTTAATAACCAAGGCCTCTAAGGGCTTGGCTACTTTTCTTTAGTAATTAATGGAGATAGTAAGAGATGAGGAGAGAGTGTTCATACCACCCAAATTTAATCTCCCAGGCATCTCTCTGAAGCTGATTAAGAGTAATAGACTCCTCCAGAAGGTGGTTCAAAGCACCTTTATTAATTATTTTATGTATCTGTGGATAGTTAAATCAAGATTGCTGAGCAAAAGTAACTTTGCATTGATTATGATTAGAGTTAATGTTACAGTAGAGCAGAGCCCTGAGTAAGTTATATGTAGGAAAGAGGAAACTTTGACAAACAAGAGCTAATACAAAAAGCCCTGGCTTAGCATTCCCATTATGAAAATTTTTTTGGTCTGCATTTGGCTCAGTATATGGGCCCCTGAGACAGGTGAAGTAGAGGGTTGAAAGTAAATCAGTACTAATGATTTTGGCTCTAATGCAGCTTGGAGTCTGTCAGAAGTAGCAGTGGTATAGAAAGCAGCATTTGGTCAAGTTTAATTTTTCTTTGAAATATTTCTGTGAGCTATGGTAAAAACAGATGGAATCAAAAATATACTAAGTGGAAAAAAATGACAAAAGAGAACAGACTGCATTGTACTGAAAAATAATTACTTGAAGTTTGACCACTTGGAATGGGTTTCAAAAGCAACAAGTCAAAAACATTTCATTTCTACTTTTTCATTTCAATTATAGGTTTTCCTTTTCAGGGAACACATCTTCATCTGTAGAACAAATATACGCTTAATGCACTTTCTATTGAGAACAATAATGATTGATGCTGAATTTTTGAAAATGTTATTATGGAAAGAAGTCACGAGCATCATGTCTGTTGGCTGATGATTTTAGGGAGTATTTCTTTGAACATGGGAACTTAATATGGTATGAATGATTTGGGAAGAGAGGACGGCTTCATGAGAGATGCTGTGCTGCTCATGGGTGGCCATAATGAATTCAGCTGTTCTCTTTTGCTTCAGATTTTATGTCCTCTCAACAGCTTGCAGCTTGACCCATTTAGTTGTAACAGAAAGTAAAATCTACCTCTTCCATTACAGTGCCAGAGTTGTCAGATTATGCATTGTGTTATGTATGAATACATTAGCATTGTATTCAATGTTTGTCAGGGCAGGAGCATACTATTCACTGATTAACTGAAGTCAGATCAGATACTACTCTTTAGCAATGCTCATTTTTACCCAGAAATCTTCAGAAGAGGCTGTTTCTGTTTATTTATATAACTGCTAATTTTTGAGGCACTGGTTGCTTCTTGCTGTTCTAACTTTGGACAACTTAATTACTAACTGAGAACAACTTAAAAACAAATGTAAAAATTAGACTAAGGAAGCTATTTTGAAATCCTAAATTCACATTTGCTTTGTTGGTTAAAAAAAATATTTATGGTATATTTTACTTCAGAGCTTTAGAGCTTTGATTTTTTTCCCCAGTTTTACAGGTGTCCAGCAGTATAACTGCAAAATTTTTTCCACTGCATTTTTTCCAAGCAGGAAAAATTCTTGCTTTATGTTTCTTGGGAATATACATCTGAAAGAAACCATCAAATACAACATTAAGTTAATTTTAGCATTAAATTATTTTGAGGTGTAGAAGTTTGGAGTAATCTGATAAGAATAATTTATTTCAACTCATTATTATTTCTGTGAGTTGACAGATGCAAGAAAATGTATTATCAGGTACGTAGATGTTTCTCAAATGCAGCTTATTAATTACTGTCATTCATCCAAATAATAGCGGCTTTTGTAGTAGTTCCCTTTCCTTTAGTATACAAGGCTATTCTTTCCATTTCTATCTCAGCACCTTGACACAGTAAGAATTAGCAAGTTTAGAATTATCTTCAGGTGAATTGCAACTTTTGGGGGAAATTTCTGTAAAAAATATAATACATGAAAAACATGATATCTTTTATTAATACTTTTACAGAAAGAATAATTAACATCAGTTATGACAAAGCTATTATGAAAAAACATTGAAGAAAAACATTAAAACTACAAACTACCCTCTAGAAAAGTTATAGTATATAAATGAATTTCTTGTATGTTACAAAACTTCTTTGGGACTGTTTATATGGACAAAGTAAGTATATATCTGTTGGCGATGCTGAAGTTGAAAGAAGTTGGTGAAGTGAAGAAGATAAAGCAGTAGAAGACATTATTATGACTTTTGAAAAAGTAGTGACAGACAAAAAGGCATATGAGGCCAAGGGTTAATTAAAAGATTCCAACCATATCTATAAGTTGATCTGTGAAGAAGTTGAATGGATTCCCATACATTTGTGTATTCGCAGGGAATAATTTCGTACTGCTTATTACTGGAAGGTGGGGATTTTATTTATTGTTTTGCCAAAAGCACGCACACACAAGGGAGAGAGATTTCTGCTTGAGTTAGAAAGCAACTTGGCTACCATCTCTTACCAACACTTGCATTTTTGTACTGAACCTGTGTTCTTAATACTGCCTCTGACACTGCTCTCCATCCTTCTTACTGATTTCAGTAAGCTCAGACCAAGCTAAAAGCGTGGGCTCCCTCTGCTGGCTGCGGTGATGCTCCGAGCCCTTCTCGGGATGCTCAGCAGGAGCTCTGGACAAAACGATTGGGAAAAAATGAGCATGCAGCTTATTTTAAACAATTCAGGTAGGAGGTAAAAATGTAATCTAGCCCGTTAAATGCAGCCGTTGCATAAAACTTGCATTTGAAATGCCCAGACACTCTGAAATAGTAATAGTTTTATGGTAAAACAGCAACAGAGGTTTTTACTTTCTGTGATTTCACATAGTAAAAGAGATTGGTGTATGTAAAGAAGCGAGGATGTAGTCTAACTGATCTTAACTTGTGTAAAACTCAACAGAAAACTAATATCCCCTCTTAAACTTTTTTTTTTTTTTTTTTTTTTTTAGCTATTCCCAGACTTGTGTGTGTGTGCATAACTTATTTCAAGAGCCTTTGATTTCTTTTCAGATCCTCAACCGGATAAGGCCCTGAGCAACCTGATCTGAAGCTGGTCCTGCCCTGAGCTGGATGTTGAACCAGATTTCTTCTGTAAGCCCTCCTCACTCCCAACATACATTGTTCTGTATTTCTATCCTAGATGTGAGAGGAAGGTTAGAGTTACAATGAAGGGTTTGTATAATATAGCCTTTAACCCAATGTTCATCTTGAAAAGTCTTTCAAAGTGGAAAGTAGCTTTCTACCTGCACAAAGAGAGGGGCTTGGATGCACTTTCTGCACAGTAACCCTTTGCTTACCAGCAGGTCTTTGCAAGAGCAGAGGTGTAATGCAGGTGCAGAGGACCAGGCTGAAGATTAGTGAGCCGCTCTGTCATTAAGGAAAGTGCCTGCATGTCTCCTGCACCAACTAGCAGCTATTAATAAAGCTGTGGAAAACTACCTACAGTTCATTTAAGAAGGAATCCTAGACCCTGTGACTGAGGAATCCTAGACCCTGTGACTGAGGGTTCAGCTGATAATCTCTGGCATTCCTGTACAATGAGGAAAGGCTGCACAGACTGTACGACAGTAAGGGAATGTTTTTAACACCCTGCATTGTGACCAACACTTACCACAGAGATGCTTGCCACAACCATTCTCTGCATGGGAGAGAGGGTGGATGAATGTAAACTCTCCATCCTTCCCAAAGTATTGAACAGCAGTAGGCAGGTTACATGAAAGTTTACAGTGCCTGAGGGAAGGAAGGAAACACACAATATTCACGAGAGAGAGAGGCTTCTTTAGAAGATGGTTCTGAACAAAAGCCATAATCTGGGTGTTCTTGATTTTTTCCTCCAGTACAGTTTATCTCCTATCAACAACAGCGGCAGCCTAACAAGTCTGTTCTTTGAAGGCTAAACTTAACTTTTGTGAATACTTCTTTCCTTTCCCTCACTTGGTGTCCAATGTGATTTTCTTGGTTCTTCAGGCCATGGGTGGAAATGGATTTTGGTTCTTATCTGATGAGCTTGGATTATATATGAAAAAGTGGTGAGATCAGCTTGCCACAACAGGTTCCCCATCACTGTGCCATGAATGTGTCAGATGAAAAGTTTGTTTGGATACTGTGTTCTGATTTCAGTTAGAGGTAACTCTCAAATGACGGACTGTGCTTTTTCCTGCTAATTTTCAGGAAAGCTGCCTTCACAAATACAGTATCAGAATTATTATGAGATATGTGTCAAGGTTAGAAAAGGCAATCCTGAAGGAATATTCTGAAATATTTAAGACATAAGGTGACCAATTTAGTCCCATGTTAGCAGTGATGAACCCAGCTACAACATACGTAATAGGAGGAGGAAAGGGTACAAAACATCCTGGTAGCTTTATAATGATAGTTCTCATGGGGACACTGTATCCTTAGTTAGTCCTCTGTGCTAAAATTATCCTTCATTCTCCAGACAGTTTTTCAGGAAATAGAAGAAAAAAAAATATCAGAAGGTACTGAAATAACATGGAGAAGCCTTGTGATTCTTTACAAGTTGTAAAGTTCTAGGTTATTTTTAGGACTCACTGTGTTTATGTAATTATTTCAGATATTCTCTGTTTATATAGCATTTATTAGATAGCTGTGCACAATCTACTTGCATTCAGCCCATTAATGGTGTCAGTAGACACCACTTACCCATCTAAATTGTATGCAGGCAAATTAACAGAGCAAACAACCTGCTTTGCAAACACCCTCACATTAGGAATTTATCTCTCCTTCATACCTCACTTTGAAACACATATTTGGATTTGAGGGATGAGGTTTCAAGACTTGTTTTTTTCTGTGACAAAAAAAAAAAAAAAAAAAAAAAAAAAAAAAGAAAATCTATTAATTGAGCTAGATGAGGTTATAAAATGGTAGATGGGTCAGCTCACACTGAACCCAGTGTAGTTTCAGGGACAGATTCCCTTCCACAGTTATCTTAAATCCATAGTTGTAAGGGCCAGTCTTTCAGTTCATGCTCTTGTTTTGCTGATTTTAATTGAAGTTAGTGGAAATTTTGACTCACAAGGGATATATCATGCTACAGAGCAGGGCTGTTTACATGCCTGTGTGTACATATATTGATATACCAGAGCTTTCTTGGACAGATTTGACACGTCTTTCAGGCCAAATGCAAAGCTGAGCTAGCACAAGTCATGTCTTCAAGAAGATGAAGAATCAAAGCCACTGCTAAATAGAAATTGCTTTCTGAAACCAAAGAAGGGACGTGGCTTTAGGTGTTAGATTTTTACATGCTTTTTATTTTCTAACACATTTTTAATGTACTGGAAAACAGATTATGCAGTTTATATAAATGCCTGGATTTTCAAGAAGTCATGTAAAAATATGAATATGATTACCCTACTATCAGTGCTATCTGAGTTTTAGTGTATTTGATCCCAACACAAAATGCAAAAAAAAATAAATTCTTCCATATGCTGCCTAAAAATCCTTGGAGAAGGATGCACTGTTCATTAAAATACAGTGTATATTCTATTATTTTTTTAACCTCATTTTATATTCAGTGTATCTGCTGTTATACAAGCATAAATTCTTTTTTCTTTTTAATATTTTCTTCCACACATTAGGTTTGTCTGCTGTAATAATGACATGGGAGAATGATTGCTGAAATATGCTGTATCCAAGCCTGTAGCTTGGGTCTTTGCAGTCATCAGGTAGGTGTTCCAATTTATGAATAATAGGTTTTCTGGAAGCAAACGCGTGAACCACCACCACTGGCTTGCCTCAGCAACTTCAAAGGGAAACATTTTTATTTTCAGAAGAGACAGAAAGATCACATTTGGAGGTTGAAAGGGTGCACTGCACCTTTTAGCCAAGACAAGGAGAATCAGCCAGGGTCTGAGAGATATTTTTGCCAAATTTTTTAAATAGGAATACAAAGAAAATGCTCTTTAAATTGTAAGTAGTATGGATAAAGTTACTTATAGGCAAAGTGGCTTTATTATTGCTTCCAGATGTGAATTTTGAAACACAGAAAGGGTATTTAGCATTTGTGTCCATTAAAAAGAATGTAATTCAGGACTCATTCAGCCTTATAGACTCTCTCTTGGATGAGAAAGAGAAGACAGGAATGAGAACCCAGCTCAGTTGAAGGCACTCACTGTGGATGGAGCCATTACATGGAGCTTGGGCAGGATGTGTTACTTGAAAAGCAGCATCTGGACACATACACACACCAGCACAAATAATTGACAGTTTATTTCCACGGCCAAAAAGAAATTGGAAAAATATTCTCTCCATCTGACTGTTTCTTTTATTCTTGCAGCATCATAAGTAACATACAGATAGCCATTTTCAAAGTAGGTGAATTGGGATACAGCTTCCCATTTCCCCTGAAACTCAGAGGCTATACCTCACCTTGCAGGCATCTCTGAGAGTAATTACTGTCAAAAAAGTGAAGGCACACACTAAAAATGGAACATTTTTGCTTCTCTTGTCTTCTCTCGTTGTGTGCTGAGCTTTGCCAGCTCACGGTGCTGACTCTGTAGAGATGAGGGTAGTCTGATGATGGTAGTGCCCATGTAATTCAGAGGACCACAGGACTCATTACTTATAGGGGCATGGGCTCCTTTAGGGCTCATGAAGGCTCTCAAGCACAGGCTAAGGAACCCTGATGCATAAAATCAAACAAAGGGAAGCTGGTGCAAGCCCAAAGCCAAAGTGATGCACCACTAGGCAGGCCCTAGTGAGCAGCCTGCAGCCTGTCCTTCAATAGTCGTGTGTGGGCAGCAGGCAGACGGGAGCTGGACACATGATACTTACATCTCTTCCAAAGGTGGCAGAGCTCCTGCCAGTATGTTTTAGCTGCTTTCCTCTTTCTGGAGAGCCAAAAAATATAGTGAGACTGATTTGGCTTATTGATGGTCTTGCACAATAGTGTTGTTAGTGGAGCTCCAGCTGCAGAGCTTCTTTTACCAGTGATGCTGATGAGTATAAACTTGAGAAAACCTATCTCAAGTTGTGCATTTCAGGCCTAGTTTGGAGGGCTGACAGTTTACAAAAGGGAAGCCCAAGTGTATTTTAACTTTTAAGTCACGGAAAAATAAAAATACTGAAAGGATCATGATTTTACAAAGATGTATTTTAGTACACAACTGCATAGTGAGATAGGTTTTATTCTGTGAATTCCCTGAGGACACTGACTGCTTATATCTTTCTCACCAAGGAATATATAGGACCCAATTCTTCTGTGACTGTATACTCAAAATTAATGTAGGTTTCCAGGGGGTGCCACATGTGGAACTGATGAACTCAAATTGTAGGACCCTTGTAAAATGTCTCTGCTAAAGTGTTCCAGCTTTTAAAGTTTGTCCCTAGTTTCTTGCACATAAATTGCTATGAAAGCAGATTTTGTCTGCAAATGGATGCAGCCAAATGTGTAGGCGATGCATATACATTACTTAACCAAAATAAAATTTTCATGAGTAGAATTTATTCTGGCTTTTCTTTATCTAGACAGTATTAGTGTTTTAAAAATACATAACCAAAAAACACAAACTGCACTTCACACCAGAACCTCAGGAAATGCAATAATACATCACAGGAGAAGAGAATAAAAATCACCAATTAATAATGCATAGTATGTCAGTAACTATAGCTGGTATCTGCTACTAGAACAAGCAACTTTACAAAAAGCATAATAAAAAGATTCTATCAGTACTAGCTTTGCTGAAATCATTCTTCCTTGGATGACCTTCAGTGTGGGATTTTCACAAAGCAAGCCAGAGGTCATGTCGGTGAGGTTGGTAGTAGGGTGATGGTTAGACCAGATGGTCTTGGAGGTCTTTCCCAACCTAAGTCATTCTATGGTTCTATTCTATGATTCTATGAGATATCTGACTCTATGGTTTTGCTGTTTGTTTTATGCAACTGTCTACAGAAATCTTTCATTTCTTAATAAAAATGTGGTTTAACTGTTAACATAAATACCAATGAAGTTGGTGGAAAGGTTCACATTGAATTCAGTTAGTCTTCACTGGGCTCTCAGTCACCCACATATCCATGTGTTTTCTCAGAATAAAGCTACATTTGAGGATGCAATTGTGGCACTTGCTGGTGCAAAAGTTAGGCTCATAAAATATATGGATATCAGGCTTCACCTTATGAAGTTTGGGCCGACAGAGCAAAGGGATAGGGAAACTCAAAGACACTTAATGTTTTCCTGATTTAAAGATGACCATGCATAACTCATTTGTGGCTTTACTTCAATCGACACCCTGCGCTTTTGTTCATAAAGTCATCCAAGAGTCACAACTAGAAAGGGCATATTCTAAGGGGGCCGCAATTCTTTTGACGCCTCTTTAAAATTAAATAATAAATATAAATCACAACTGAGAGAATCTGGTAAACCTGTTGCATAAATACCTATAATGCCACACTCTACTAAGTACCTTCAGATGGAAATAGGCATTTCTGGAATTGAATCTTTCTAAACTAAGCTATTTTGTATTACCAACACAGCTCCCTTCTTCCCCTCCAGAACATCTAAAAAAAGTTGACGACTGCTGAAGCTGCATTGAGATGAAGTACCTAATTCACAAAGATGTCAGAAAAGCTATTTTCCAGCATCACCCACTTCAGATACTGCCTAAAATTCCCTTGGCATGGCCCTTGCTGCCCTTGAAGTTGCCACCAGGCCCATGCAGAAGTGCCCGCAGGCTGAGTAAGAAGGCCCTCTTCTCGCTGGACTTCTGCTGGGTTATGAGAGTGAGGAGCTTCTCCTTGAAATGCCTCTCCCACCCAAAGCCAACTTCCTATTTGCACTCAGTGACCGGATCCTGACCACCGGATTGCTAAATCAATGTTATCATTACTTTACCTTTTGCCTAACAACATACAGCCAGAAAATGAGAAGGAGAAACTCCAGGCTCTCTGCAGACACTGCCTTTCCCTTCCCCTGGGAGCATGGCAGCTCCTACTGCAGTGCACACTGAGAGTCCTTGCATTAAACCCAGACGTCACTGCTGCTGGGAACACAAAGGTTTGCTGTGAAAGGGAAAGCAGAAAGTTCGACTTTGCCACTTACCACTTAAGGGAGACCAAGGCTCCTGGATCAGGACAACACACCCCTCTACGTATTAATGCAAGCTACCTTTGTCTCATGGAGGCAGAAAAATATCAAATTGTATAAGAGTTGTGCATCCGTTGCTCAGGAAAGTGCAGCTACCCTGTAATCAGAAATGTTTGGTAAGGGAAATAATACTTATGCACCATATACTTTAAAATGTCCAGTTAATTCAAATGCTGTTTAGATTTAAGAGAATGAGTAGGTTTCAAGGCTGCCTTTATATAGACAAGGCTTCCTTCTACAGAATTCTATTGTATTGCATGCAAATTAACTTCATTGTTTCATGCAGTTTAGAATGTTTTCTCTTCCTTTCCCATCAAACTTTCAAGATGTTGATTATTCTGTTCATCCCTTGTCAGGGCAATATGCTGAAATTTCAGAATGGTTGAAATCTTAACTATTGTTTTGACACGAGTTGCTCTTTTTGATCATTTTTAAATACATCATTTCATTAATAAATGTGTATTATTTCAGCTATACTGCCTTACATTTTAAGATTAAAGCTTTGAAAGTAAAACTGATCAAACAGAAAATTAATTAGAAAATCATCTAAATAACTTTTTCCAATACTTTTGAAATGCTTTTTTTTTTTTTTTTCTAATGGGAAATTCAGTGAAGCTGGCTCATCTCCCTCTCCAAACAATTTCAGTTTAAATCATTGTGTATCTTGTGGCAAAGGTAGATTTCTTAAAATTTTCCATTCAGCTTCATTCCTGGTCCTGGAGGAGTAGGGACTCATTATTTCTCATTATTTCCTTCAAAGTGATGATGGATAGGTAGTCTGCTTTTTCACTTTTAAGGTATTATCTGATTGTTGAAAATATAAACATAATACATTATATTATGTCTTAGTTATCCAACAGAAGAATGAAACACAAAATATCATTATGTTTTTCCCAGCACTGAGACTGTGCAATCACGTTGTTATTATTACATAGGATTTACACTGGTGATATCACACAAGTATTTTATTATATCTATTGATATTAGTTTCCAAAGAGGTTGATTTTGGGGTTTCTTTTTAAATGTCAGAGGTCTGTGAACACTGTCAGTCTTCAAACAGAAAATTTAAAGGAATTCACTAGGTTAAAAAAAAGGCTTGTAATGAGATGAAACATGTTCAGTTTTAGGTTTGCAGAGAACGCTTCAAGCATTTTATATTTTTACAAACATTGTTAAAATCCCATCTGGTGTTTGTGAAGTATTTTACTATCTCCTGCTGGGCCAGGCAGACATTGGTTTTCATGTCTGTATGTTTCCAAAACATTAGAAAAAAAAAAGAAAGAACGGATCTGGATCAAGTACAGCAAAATGATAGAATGCCATATTTCCATTCTTTTGCATTCAGGAACAGAGACAAATGTCCCGGGTTCCTGCAAAGATCCATGAGTTCACATAGTGGAACCACTTGTGAAAAACGCAAAGGAGTAAATTTCTCTAAGTAGTTCAACATTCACCATCTTGCCCATGATATATTTTTATAAGCAATAAGTACATAATTTCTGTTTCAATTATATACTTCATTTTCAAGGGAATTCATTTGGAAAATATAAAAGCCAAATGAAAATGTGTTCCATTTTGATAGACACATTTTCCCATTATACAGTTGACTTTACTTATTAATTGAGTGTGGAAAAAATGAAAACCAAAGCAGAAATGCAAAGTCCTCCTAATTATATATTCCTATCCATCATGCATACCTATGACCCAGTTTCTCTGAAGTCAATGGGAACAGTCTAATTTCTGGTCTTACAATGCATTTACAACCAGGATAATTTTTAATTACTTTAATTCAGTTACTGCAAAGATAGGAGAGGAGAAAGGATAGAGAGTTTGGGAGGGGGAGGAGGGAGGAGGAGGGGGAGGGTTAGTGGGTCTGCATTAGCTATTGTTTGTAGAAGGGAGATACATATCTAAAGCAAGAGCAGTGATAGCATACCTGCTGCATACAACTGCATTCTAATGGCTTAAAAATATATGCATTTCCGATCAAACACATGTTGCACTGAAGATCCTAAAAAGCCTTTCCTGTATTCACTGATAATTCATAGAAAAAAGTAGATGCATTGCCAAAACAAATAAAAAAAAATCTTAGCAGACCAGAAGCATAAAAATATAATGATTGCTTTTTAAGATGCAGTGGTCATACCATTTTGATTACCAGATGGAACTTTCCTTAGACACTTTTGTGCCTTTTACCTGACAAATGGCTGGCATTCTATCAGAAAAGCCTTCCCTTTGCATGATTTTGACTGTGTACTGTGTTATTTTCTTAAAGGATGGACTTCTGATGGGAGTATAATTCAGCTACATTTTCTTCTCTTTTTCCATTTGCCATCGTTCATCCCTCTCCACAAGGTTTGCACACACAAGGTCCATCTTCCTGCCCCACACATTTCATATAACCTTCATGTCTGAGTAACCCAAATAGTTGTGTGTGTGTACAGATAGTAGGTGCATCCGACTTTCATATAGCCTTGGCTGTTGTGAAGCACGTTGTCCCTTTCCTTCAAAGCCCTCGGTTCTCTCTCCCTGCTAGTAACATGTGCATTTGTAGAGCTAAAGAACAAAGTTGAGTATGTGAGGTCAACAGATCATCTGATGTATATATGATGGCTATGGGAATTAGATTGCTCTCGGCTTCTCACTTTCTCTGATTGATGTAGAAAAATACCTCCTTTGCTATTTATAATGGTAGTTGCAAATATTGATCTTCATAAACATTGTTATAGCAATCTTAAATGTCATGATAATCAGCATTCCAGATAAGTGACATTTATTTCTGTTTGAGGCACTTTGCTGAGTTGGTGTACACAGTTTGGTAACAGCTTTATGCCTAGCTGCAAAGGGAAACTGTTAAATGCTTGGGAAATGGGGCAGAGGAGTAGGAAAAGCTCAGCTGAGCTGGTTGCTTTCTCCTCCATCAGGCAGATGTGCTGTGCAGGTATTTGTTCCTTGAAGATATCAATGGCTGATAAACTGGTACTGGAGGAGGACACGGAGAAGGGTATACTTCAAAGAAACTGAGAGGGAATAAGAATTTCTGAAATCTGTAGCAGTGAGGAGACAACTATCTCTTCCAGCCCCTTTAACCTTTTTGGGGGGATATGGTGGTCAGTAGCGGGCTGGTGACCAGCTGTGGAGGTGTGTGGGGAGGGGAGGAGTGATGGGAGAAAGGAGGCCAACTGCAGCTCTCCGACAGGTGGGAATGATTATGGAAAGAATGACGACCTGTACTGTACAAGTTATTGATGGTAGTTCCCAGAGGAGTTGAGTTAATAAAGCTGCAGCCAAAATAAACCACATCCCTTGCATCTTGTCTTTCTTCCTGCATGTCCGGAACAACGCAATGAGAGCCTGTTGCCTCCCCTTCTCCCCATGCCTTCCCCAACATGCTGAGGTTTTCTTCTCCTCTCTTCTACACAGCTGTGTCACGGAAGGATTGAACTTTTGTTTTCTGGTAGTAGTACAAAAATATGAATGTTGAGTAGATTCGGATTCTGCTTTTCTAAAACGAGGCATACACTCAAGGTGAGAATAGGATTGGAAAATAAATGAGCAGAAATAGTACCTGCTTCGTGTAACAGGACATTGCCTTTACCATCTGCTGCTAGGTCTGTGTTAAGCTGCATTTCTCTAGGCTGCAAAGAAACTAATGTGTTTGCATGAGAGGATCCTTGAGGGGAGCTTACAGGCAGCACTCTGGTGACGGTCTTCTGAAATGATTATTCTTTTTGATAGTATAGACTTGTAGAAAAGGGGTTGTTCTGAACAGAAATGGCTTGTAGAGTGGAAATCATCTAAGAGTTGAAGTTGCAGAATTTAAATTCCAGACTTCTCAGTGGTTCTTGTTGATCTAGAGCTGCTTTATTTTATGATGTCTTTCTGGTAAAAGTATGTTTGTATATTGCCCATTTTATAGACAGAGTCACCTTCTAGGTATTTTCCACAACAAACAACACATGGCAACCCCGATCCTCCATCGCATTCTTCCATTTGCTCTTACAGCTCAAGTCTTAATTTTCATGATTTTTCATCATTGATGCTAAAAGGCATTCTTCGGTGTGACTTGTTTTCCCAGCTCTGTCAGTATGGAAGAACATTTGAACCAGTGGAAACTGAATGACTGGCTTCAGCACCATGTTTATTATTTAATAGCTTTGGCTTGCTATTTCCTTGAAAATTGGTTTGTCTGCCTCCAAGTCTATCACAGGAGCTGTGTGTGCCAGAATACTGTTTTGTGTTGACATCAAACCCTGATGCTGTTGCCCTGGATACGATGCTTTGCACAACTACTTGCACAGTCCATCGAGGAACTGGCCTGTTACCAAAGTATTGAAGTTCTTCCTGAGTATTTAAAGGTAGAAATATCTATAACAAAATAAGCTTTTCTTTTTTCCTTTTTCTTTGTTCAGGTTATAGGAGAAATATCTCGTTTAGATTAGAGCTTGCCTGAATGTACAATTGTGTACCTAAATGTGACTGAGTATGGGAGAGCTCAGTATTTGTATTGAAAATTCAGAGCAAAAGGTTTATTTCTGAAAGTGGTGAGATTTCTGTTTGTTCTCCTGTGAGTCCTACAAGCAAGGTCACTTAAAAGAATCTTCTTTTAAACCCAGGAGACAAGGAATTGAAAATTTAGAGTGATAGACATGGGCTGCATGGCTGTTTACTAGCGACAGGCATTTTGTGTGCAGTAGTTTGTTGCTATTTTTTATCTGCTGTTATTGTAAAATCATTACATCTTCCTGTAACAGTACTTCACAGTCTTTTAAAAGCTGAGCTCACTTTCAAAATGAAATCAATCAAGCCCATTGCCTTTCCATTAGCTTTTAAGGTTAAACACCTTAGCATATATATTCTACTTTATCCTTATTACATTCTGCTTTTACTACTTTCTTTCAGAAGCACTGGGGTAAGGATTCCTACTAATGTACTTTTCCTTTTTCTACATGCATCAGTAGTGAAAAAGTGAGCAGCACTGACATTAGAAGCCCTCGTAACCCATGGCTTTGGTGCATGCCTCAGAGTTATGATTGCAGGCATACATACCCTTCTGAACAAATTGCTCAATTTTTTTTGCAAGCACCTTTCACAAGTGTAATACTTTCATTTTTTAATAATGGAAGCTCAGCCTCTGTAAGAGAGTTACCCACTAAACTTAGTCCATATCCACCTTTTCATATATCACAAGGAATGTTTTACATATTGAGAAATGTTATTCTACAATTAACAGCTCAACAGTAGGCGAGTGGAAAACTCTTTTCACACATATGGACTAGACCTTTTATAAAGATAAAATATTTTGTAGGCTGCAGAAATTTTGCAGTCATGGTGATGATCTTAGATTAAGTTAAAATGAAGGTATTTGCTTCTGTTGACTGAATTCCAATGTTAATTTAGACCTAATCATACTTAAATCTAATCATCTTGATCTCTGTTTCCCAATGAAAGGTGGAAAATTTCCTTAAAATCCCTTTTGTTACCCTGGATTTTATTTGGTTTACAAACATGAGAATCTAGCCCTATAATTTTTTCAGATGTTCACTCATGTGAAAGTCTTTAGTGAGTGATAAACTGTGGGCATTTCATCTTCTGCATCTTCTATGATTGTAATACTAAAGCTTTAGATACCAAATGTTTTGAATTCATTGAGATACCCCTTTTCCTAATGGCTGCCAATGCTCACTACATAGAAAGTTTAGCTAGAGGATTCAGTACTTGAGGATAAGCAAGTAGGTAAGATGTGGATCCTTGACACTCTGCCCCAACCTCCAAATTTTCTCAGGAAAGAATAAAAAAGGATTGTGGGGATGCATGTTGATGAAGGGTCTGGTGCTATCTGCACATGGCAAGATCTGCCCCAACATTAATAACCATGGTAAGCACCAACATTCATTTCATCGATTCTTTTTAAGCAACTGGGTCAATGAAATTTCTGACAATGTGAATGGTTAACATTTAAATTGCTTTCACAAAAGTGGTTAACACATTGTACCACTAATTATGTGATTACAGGGGAGCTATTTATCAATTTACTTTTACAGGAACTATTTATTTTGGACTTAACCTTTGAGTTTTGCTATAGTTTGAAACAGAACCTCTCACAGAAGGAAGCTGTTAGTGGTGGCTAGTTTATAGGGTTTAGGGCCCAACAAAAATACCTCAGAATCATCCAAGGCCAGACAAGAGGTTTTATGAAAGTTTCCCAATTCCAAACATGAAATATGAGTTATGTTTCAGTTAGAAAGCCACCAGATTTTTCATTCCTAAACATTCATCTTTCTAAAAACTTGTGTTTCGGCTTGTGCAAGCATAGATAACTGGTGACACATAGAAGAAGACAGGCAACTTTTGCCATATCTACCTTACTTCATTTGGCATTTTGCCAAGCTACCTTAGTTCCCTCTTCATATGGCAACCCTAAGCTTTGTTTTTTAGAAACTATAAGGAAGAAAGACAGTCAACTTTGCTCATGCTCTCTGGCATGTATTGGTTTTTAGTGATAAGATTTTGCTAGGGAGAGGGGCAAACCTGGATACTGGCAAGTGGACTCAGAAGTGAACCCTGCAGTCTTCATATCTTGAAGATGATATCAGGGGCATGGCTATAGCACACTGAAGCTTCAAGTTCAGACTGTGCACTTCCAGGGTAGTGATCAGGTAGACTTGGGGGTTGTTCCACATTAAGGATGTGAAGCTCTTGGAACAGGTCCAAAGGAGGGCCACTAAGATGATCAGGGGGCTGGAGCACCTCTCCTATGCAGAAAGGTTGAGGGAACCGGGGTTATTTAGCTTGGAGAAGAGAAGGTTCCGG